TTGCTCAGACCTACATTTAGTACACATATAAATACTTCCCTGCATGTATATACACGTCATGCATTATAAACATCCGATCAGCAATATTTACGCTTAACTTGAACATGTTGTTGACCCTTAGACCAGTTGTTCTCGAAGTGTGTTCTGCGGTCACATCTGAATTAAATCAACTGCTTATATTATTTTTAGTTGGATGTAAAATTTGTAATTTAGAGATTGTATATAATTTCAATCAAGCGAACACGCACGTTAAATTGTCTTCATTAAACCAAATATTGAAGTACTATAAAAAAATATCAATATGATTGGTCACATTTTAACTTATAAATTACTAAATATTATTTTTTCATAAATGTAATTTAATATTTGGTTTCCATATAACACAGGAATTATGAAAAAACAAATTTAAAATCAAATCATTAATATATAAATTTTTTTTTGTGGTGTTACGGAAGAGATTTTAAAAATTTAATTCGCATACGTCTTGGTGACATTGGGTTCAATACTTGATGACTGTATTATATAACTATCCAGTATGAATGTGATCTAAATGTAGTTCCCTCAGAACAGTTCAAAATGTTCCACGTGTCCAACAAAAAATTGTCTTCAACAAGTACTCGCGCACCGGTTGATATTATAGTTATACGACTTAATTTTTTTTTTGTTGTAGAGTGGATATACTTTACTACAAATTACACAAATGCATAGATTATAACTATGGAAAAAATACGAATGCGTTCACATGATTTTTATCTTACAACAACCAATTAATCAGTATATAAATTTATTTCAAAGTTATAATATTTATAAATATCACTTTTTATCAGCTGTTAATGTAATTGATAGATAGTACATACCACAAGAATATATGTTTATAATTGACGAAAATAAGCTAAATATATAAAGTTACGTTTTACCAAAAAGGAGCCTCCAAACCTTCCTGTATTAATCAATTATATATACATATTACTATTTCTGTGGAAATTTCAAACATCAATTTTACGGCATTTAAAATAAAGACGAAGGGCCATAATCCACAAAACATCTCCTTAGATATACTATTGAACTCTATTGAGTTCTGGCCGTCGCTAATATATTATATTAATATTTATGCACTAATTAATCTTATCCCCTCAACACAACACACATCGATCACTTCCCTTTTTCTATTCGACTCTTCCCTACGTATATAGATATATACACCCTCGGTGGCACTATAAACATATTAAATTGGCTTTCTTATCCGATAACAGATACGCAGCAGCCTCGTAGTGTTTGTTATCCCTCGTACTGAGTTTTGCTGTTTAAGAATAATCGTTGGTCTGTACGATTTTTTCTCGTGATCTTGATTTTTGATAATACGTACAGATAACTCGATAATCGATGAGACATACATCCTCGACGAAACGAATGTTCAATTTCACTACATATTTATTCGATACATTTTTTGTATAAGTTTATTCGATTTAAGTCTATATAAAAAATACACAGTATAATTTAAAAATATTTATAACTTTCAATTAATTTCATATTATTTACCATCAAATTAGTTATACGTACTAATAACTAAAAAGTTTTACAAGGCTAGTTTTATTTTTGATATAAACAAATCTTATAATACAAACGAAGTTCACAGATAAGAAATACATTTTTCTATTTCTTACAACTATAAAAATATTTTATTATACTTTTGATTTTTTTTTTCTTATAAAATTTAAATACAAGAAATTTCGTAATCACTTAGAAAATTTTAAACAAAAATTATATAATGTTTGAAACAAAATAAATATTGTAATTTTTCTGAGTTTAAAATTAGAGCAAATAATTTTCATATTACTCAGAAAAATCTAAAAAGGAACAAACTAAGTATTAATTTTCTAATTTTCGTTCAGCAATTTTAATTAAGTACCAAATATAACTACATAGTTGTATGCCTTACTTTAAAGCTCGTTTTAATGTATAAAACTTAAAACTAATACATTTAAAAGAACATATTTGTCCAATGCATAATGTGGTATAATATTATGTAGGAATTTACATAATATTTTATTTTATTCGAATAAGTGTATAAACAATTTCTAAACAACCATCTTACTTTTTAAATTCAACCAACGTTTTTAAAATTAAATTATGTAATATTTTTACTCATCAAAATATGAATTAAATAATATTTACTTAAAAATAAGTTAATTTAATAAAATAACATAAATCTCTAAATTTTTCTTATTTCATACCTTAAAACTAATCATATTTAATAGATCTTGATATAAAAAGATGATATATATGAAAAATAGTATATAATATATTATATATATATATATTTTATTATAATATATTATATATAGCAATTGAAATAATATAAAAATTGCAATAATATTAATCAACAGTCAAATAATAACTTATTTTTCATGCAAAAACGTAAAAGTCACGATTATATCATTATTCTAAGTGGTGTTAATTATTCTACTCGGATAGATCAAAATCGATTTAAATCGATTTATCGAATATTATTTATTTTTTGTTTGAAAAATAATATGCAAAATTCGTACGTTAACTATTGCATTAGTATAGAATTATAGTACACTGATAATTTTTAATTTATTCAGAAATAGAAAAATTAATAATACACCGTATACTTTATCCTTACACTTGCGTTTAATAATTAACCACATAAAACGATCTTACTCCTTGGTTAAATTATAGGGTTTAGTAAATGAAAATATTATATACAGTAAACCGCCGCCGGATCATTGGCGATATCCCGAAATGTCAAGTATAGCAACCGTGCGTTTATAAAATCTTTTGATCTTAATTAAATTATCAAATAATCATTGGTTATTTGAACAATTAATTCGCTGCTAACTGCGAAAACTGAAGCTGAAAACAATCAAATTCAATATCCAGCCATGTGGCGTTGTTGGTCGATAGTTGAATACCTCTACTACACCTACCATGTTCGGTTTTCGATTAATATATAATGGCACTCAGCCGAAAATTGCCATTTATTGCGGACCTCAAAAAATGTCTCCGATGTTTAGAGTATATATTTCCTATTCAATTGTTTTAAAAATTAATGTGCTCAAAAATCTCATCGAAGAAATCAATGTGTACTACACATCAATAATAAATATTCATACACAAATTATTAAGGGCATTTAGAACCATGATTTACTGTACGTACAATGTACGACATACATATATGAATTAGATATTTGAAATTGCATTTCGTTTATATTTTACAATGAGTGATATATAAAACGGAACATGTACCTAAAAAAAGTTTTTCTATTTTTTATTTTTAATATTATTACTACTATATTATTTACAAAGTGTAATTTATTACAGTAAAAAGATAAATTAATATTTTAATAACTCACTAGAGTTACATTATTATAATACTAAAATTTATAATAACATATCATGATAGTTAAGAAAAAATAAGAATTTGGATTAAAAAAAAAAAAAAAATTGTCTAATCCGAGCTTGATACTAAAAGCACATATGAAGTGTTAACAAGTAGAAAAATAAAAATTAGTTCAAATGATAGTAAAATTATGATTTTTTTTTTTTCATACATACTTATGAACGTTTTTAGAAAAAGTATTAACCCTTTATTTATAAAAAACAGCAAAAGTACAAACTATAATTAACATACATTATACGTATGATTATTTAGTGCGAATTAAATCGAAACTAAGAATTTACATGGCAGAAAACATAATTTAAAACCTATTTATTAATATTATTATATATACGTACCCCGTCAACCGTTGGCCCGGGTATTCCCCATTTTATGGACCGGGACGGTATATCTAATGATCCAAGCGATGTTTCTTTTTCGTTTAATTTGCATAAGCCACGAGCCAATGATAGAAAGGGTTGAAGAGCTGCGGCGGACGTACCGCAACGGTGGATTGCCGCCAGAACGACGACCGTGGATATATACATATATATATATATATATATATGTAAATTGTATATAATATGTATGTATATATATATTATTTTACAACAACGTGTAGTTAATATTCATTAAAATGCTACTTGTGCGCGAAAAACGACAACCACGCGCGCCCTCGACGACGGTATATTGGGCTGTACGCGGATTAAAATGTTTTAAACAACCACGACTTGATAACGTTGGATTCGTCGCGTAAAGTGTGTACCAAATAAGTTGAGAATAGAACGAGCGGAAGAGTTGCTCATCAGTAACGAAGCCCAATGAAGATATGCCTCCATCGGTTCCATAACCCACCGTTCGAATATACTTTTTAAATTATTATACGGAATACACACGCTTGTATGTGTGCAATACTTGGGTGGTAAAATTTGAATTTGGAGTAAACAAACTGAATGTGGTTATATAATATCACGTAACATAAATAATAGAGTACACGTGACCCGCGTAGGTCGCACATAACAATTATTTTTAATTAATAATAATTAATTAGTCAAGAAGAATATAGGAGAGTAGTTCTGTAAAATACTTTTATTGATTGTCTGTAAACTATGAAAAAAAACCTCATTAAGTAAAAACGGAGGATAATATTTAAATTGTCGTATTTTCATTTCTATTTTGATACTTTTTGAAAACTCAGTAAATTCTTACAATAAATATCGTTTTTAAAATTGACGATTTTAGAGAATAGAACTCTTAGTGTACTATATTTACTAATAATAACAAATTTTAAATTTTTAATTTTTTTTTTTTTTACAGTTAATACACTGTTACTATTTTAATTCAATGGAAATCGTTTTTTATTTTAAAAAAATGAAATAAAAAAAATTAAAAAAATATGATTACACATATTTATAATATAAATCTAAATTACCATTTAAGTAACATAATCATTTTAATAATTTCTTTGTCACAACAATTCGTCAAAAATGTTAATAACATAAATGAATTGTAAATTTTATTTGTGTTTATTATTTACATACTAAATCGAATAATGTAGAGATAGAAAAAATTTACTAGCTACCATTGTGTTTTGTTTTAGATTCAGATCGAAAAAGAAGTTTCTCTATTGATTACGGTGACCGGTATTAAAGTATGCAGTCCAGATGGCAAGGTAATTAAATAATTATATACATATTGGAACTAAACTGTAAAAGATTGTTATTGCTTGCAATTGGCTCCTCTCTTTCCGAACAGAAATTGTCACTTACAAGAACAAGTTTTGAAAACTAGATAAAACTGCACAATGTGTAAGAACTAGTGTAATTCACAACACGAACAATACTTTCGATATAAAAACTTTAGAAGCTTTCTTGACAACAAAAAAAATATATATAAAATAAAACTACGGTTCTAAGAACCTTAGTCGTTGAATAAAAATAATCACGAAATTGTAAACTTCTAATGTTTATAAGAAGCATTTCCATATATTTCGATTATAATTATTTTAAAAGTATCGAAGTGCTGAGGACGCGGCGTGTGTATGATTAGTATGTGATAAACGATTTACTGATATACAACATCGTAATATGCATTTGAATAACGTGCATGCCATCCGATTTCATTTTTTGTATGCGCCGTAGGACCAGTGGCGTAGCTACACAGGAAAAGACTTTGGTACTGTAAGTAATCTAAGCCCCCTAACTGATATTATCTTTACATGACAATTCAAGGTATACATATTATATTGTTTTTTTTTTTTTTTTTATGTAAATACTTATTTATTACGAAATTATAAATAAAATTAATCGCCAGATGATTAACAGCAGTGCAAAGTAAAAAGAAAATCTAGTTGATTAGGTACCTATTATAAAAAACAAACAAATATTACGTGAATTATTATTCTACATCAATACTGATTGTTAATAGAACCACCAAGTACGATTTGAAAAGTTATTATTAAATACTATCAATATTGTCAATTATTTTAAGGAAATATAGTTTCAGAAATGTTCAAGGTTCCCCCTGTGATCTGGGGCCCAGCCCCGCTTTGCCCTATGATAACTCGCGACTGCATAGGACCTGCGGTAACAAAAATGAATCGAACGTAAAAAGTACAGTAATAACGGTGGTAGTTGATAAAAGATAGTGTGAGAGAAAAAGAGAGGAAGAGAAAACGAATAATATCAATGTCAAGACAATAAAAAACATAATAACACACGCATTCGTTGTCTGTGCAAAACACTCCTTGCAAATGTTGTACACGCCGTCGCCACCGCCCGAAACGAGCGCGCTCGGCCTTGCGGAAAACGCGATTGGAAAAGGTTTGATTTTTTTCCGCCCCTTATTCCACGACAGGTGGAGAGTTTTTATCATCCGCCACGCGTGCATATTTATCGGTATATAACCTTATAATATCGGACAATCTCCCGAGACCCCGGTACGGTGCGCGCAATATTCCGTTAATAACCGTAATTTGTTCGATTCCGTCGTCGTAGCGATAAATCCAATCCTCCGCACACTCGAAGTGCCGTCGTAGATATTCGGGGTATTCGCTATGTACGATGGAGATGCGCGGTTTGACTGTAATCCGTGCCAAAAACCCTCTTCACCCTAAACAACACCGCTTTTTCTTTACTATTTTGGCCGAGGGTGAGCTTTCTCGAAACATGCTTTCTACCGCCACCGCCGTCGAATCGAGTGCGGTACAAAACTTTGGCGTCACTTGACGCCGCTAATTTGATTTTCGTGCTTAGACCGTTAAGGAAACTGCCAAAGTGTTACACAATGATATCTTCACGAAATTCTATCCTATCACCCGCGTGTATGCCTGTTAGGTTAGCCTGTATAAGTATAAACTATAAGTTTTCGAAGTCTAATACGATAATGATGACACCGAATAAGTGGCAGATTATGTAGGTTGAGGTGGAGAAAAAATACATTTCGATGGTCATTAAAGTTAGGATTCACAGCTTTGGAAAATAAAGTAAATCAGTCCCGCAATAAGTAGATAAGAAACAACCATCCAGGGGATAATCGATCAAACATTCGCAACCACTGCCATCGTTGTGGCTTGGTGATGTATAGTGGTCTCTCGGGACTGTCAACCGATGACCGTTAAAACGTCACACTGAACGGTAGGATGTCCAGCGAAAAAACTTTCATAAAAAAATCAATATATTCGCTATATACAATTTAAATATTTACGTGTTTTAAAGTGATATTAAAAAAGTTTTAAATATAAGTAAATGCACTTACAAAAAAGTTCAATTACACACTTTGTTAGAGTAATATAGTTGAATAGGCAACATATTTAATAACTATAATCCGTTACATCAGATAAAATGATATTTATAAAAAATACATATTTAGTTAATTGTTGGAATAAAGTTACACGTTTTCATCATTGATAATAAACATGTATTATACTTTACTAAAATCGTATGCTAATATTAACTTACGAGTCATAATAGCTGTGCCATACAAATTAATAATTTACAGTTAAAATTTTGTAACTTTCAAAGTGAATAAGCTCGTGAATAAATACTCGTAAATTAATACATACAATAAATAAATGCTACTAACCTGAAATGTTATTACACTAATAAAGTTTTTTGATGATATATTATCTATTTAATTTGAATTTAATGAATAAATAAAAAAAACTCATTCATATTTTATAATAAAATACTTAATGTATTACATAAAACCCAGATGTAACAATATTAGAAATAATTAATAAAATTTATATGCAAATACCTATAAAATGTATAATTGTTTAAGATATTTCATTACAATTTTCAAGTTGCTTTTATTATCTTTTTAGATTTGGTTTTATATGTAAAATAAATTTTAATAATATTATTGTACAATAAATCATTTTGATCAATATAATTCATTGGTGAACATTTTAAACAGTGAAATCTCTAAAGATTCATAAAATTGAAAACTTAATTTTTTCTTTTAATAATTGTTTTTATCTTTTGAAAAAAAAAGTATTTTATTAAAAACTATTTCAAAATAATCTTTGTATTAATTTGATTTCTTGTTGTAAATTATAGGTAGTATATTAATAATATTTGAAATAGACAAATAATCTATAAACACAAAAATTTAATTTGAAACGATTCAGTTATCTATAATCAATTCTCGTGCAAAAAAATTTCATTAAATGCACAGATGTTCCAAATCATTTAAATTGGATTATTAAGTTGTTTTATTCATATTTCCATAATTTCTGACCTGAACCATTTAAAATAATTTTTAAAGATTTATTTTTCTTGGAAAAACAAGAAATTGTATATTATGGCATATTATAAAAAATTAAATTCATTATAGCTAATGGTTTTGATAAAATCTCATTAGACATAGTTTTAATATTAAATCTAGCACCATTTGTCTTGATGATATCATAAAAAATGTAAATTAGTTAAATTATAAAAATAATAAAAAAATCAAAGTTACTACTATCTACGATTGTATAATATTGGGGAAATTAAAAAATTTATCAAATAATTTAAATGTTTGAAAAACATTGTTAAATTAGGTATAATTTAAACCAATAATATGAATAATAAAACTACAATTTATAAAGTTTTCAATAATCTATAAGAAAATATTTCCCTTTTTGGAGACATTCAATTATATAATAGTATATTGAAGTTGCGACCCCACAGCATGTTCTTCTAAAATATATATCTAAATTACCGCAGTTGTGATTATACTGATAGCTTATGCTTTACTTTTTTCCTACAAAATCAATAGGAATTTAATTAAATTTAATGTAATATGTGCTATTAGCTCTACCCTTGTAATCTATTGTGTTATATTTCGTTATCTTTTGGTAGTTACGTGCACCAGCCGCTATCCATTTAATTTGTTTATGATTCATCGATAAGTGATTCACCTTGTTTACTATTCTAGAAATTCGTTGAATCGTATTCATATTAAAATAATTTCATTCTCATATTAATAAATTAATTATATATACTTATTTATTTTAAGTAGATTTAACATATTCTCAGTGATCTATTAAAAAAATAATAATAAAATTGTAATTTATATCAATTTACAATTTTTGATGTAAATATTTTACTGTTATTTTATTTATATGGGAAACATTTTGGACTATGAAAATGAAAACTATATGGTTTAACTTAAAATATCATCAAGAGTATATATCTGTGTATTTTGTAATCTAGGTAAATGGTCTTTTAATCACATAAAATACTCTTGTTTCTTATTTATTTCTTAATACAGGAAGTTTCTTAGTGCACTTGTTCACTTCTCCATAATTGTATTAAACTTTAGTAGTTTTCATAATCTCAGATTTTTTATCAATTTTGTGCTTCTGCTAGACCTTTGCAAGGCACTGATTATGCGATTAATGTTTTCGATTATTTTTTTTCTTAGTCAATCTATAATGCATGGGTTCGTTTTGTTGTCACTTAATATTTTTAATAAAATCCTAGCAAAACTTTAAGTACGTACATTCAATGTCATGTATATTATCTAAAATTATTTTGCAATTTAATTAAATTAATCATTTAGCTAATTTTGTAATTAAGAGGAACTTACCCTTATTATTAATATTAATTATAATTATCACTCTCATGTATAAATGTATTTAATAGTCAAATTTTGACTATATTATTTGGTATATATATGTAAATATATGTATATCTTAACAAACATTTATAGGCAATTATAAACAATAAGCACATATTACTACAAACAAAAATTAAATAATGTAGAATATTATAAATAATTGTACTGTTACATTTATAATAATATACATGGACATATCGGAATTTTGCTTAAAAAATATAATAAGCAAGAGCATAATGAAGTCATGAATAAATCCATAAAACTGATCATTTTACATTTAATAAACTTTTCAGTTATAAAATAAATATTAAAATCAAAGTTCAATAGTTTTATAAACTTAAATTATTTTGATTTTTCAAACATTCAATTGCGTTTTTAAATTAATCATTCATAAAGTTGATGTCTTATACCTTACACATTTTTTAAAATATAATAGATCTACTTTTTTGATCATTATATACTATTTATACTTCAGTAAAATAATTGGTTTGCTAAAATAATTTAAAGATAGAATAAAAATACACCAATATAATTATCATTTTCAGTATCCACTGTTTATGAATTGTT